TGTAGCCCACAAAACCAAAACCAAACCAAGTTGGTCAAGTTGCCGTCAAGTTGGATCCGACTCATAGCAACAAACCCTCCTTAGGTTTCTGAGGCAGTATCACTACAGAAGTAGATTGCCCAACCTTCCTTCTGAGGAGTGGCTGGTGGGATTGAACTGCCAACCTTCTGGTTAGCAGTCAAATGCCTTAGGTACTAAGCCACCAGAGCTCCCAGCTGTAGCCCAAGAGGGATTTAAATTTCAGCAATGCTGTGTAAACTTGGTTAAGTGGCTTAGTAGCTGTCTAAAGCCACTTCTACCCATGTCAACATGATTCTGAGGCAAGACTGTTGTTCCTTGAGAAGTCACCCACCATTACTCCTGACTCCTCACTCCCCTGAAAACAGAGCACTGAAACTTGATGTGGAGGCTGTTCTACTTCTGGTTTGAGCACACCAGATCTCCTGGGATAAAAGGAGACTTCCTGTACATGACAATGAAAAAAGTATTCCCTGAAGTAGTACTCCCTGACCCTGAACCAGGGAGTTTTGGTAGTATAGTGCCTAAGGCACTTGACTGCTAACCAGAAGGCTGGCAGTTCAAACCCACCAGCCACTCCTCGGAAGGAAGGTTGTGCAATCTACTTCCATAATGATACCGCCTCGGAAACCTAAGGAGGGGTTGCTATAAGTCAGGTCCGACTTGACAGCACACAACAACAACAGCAACAATACCCTGAACCAAACCCTGGCCATTCACCCCAATATCCTCGCTGCTAGACCACTAGTGAACTATTCTATCACCTTGTCCATAATTCAAGGAATGAATTGCCTCATCCTGGCCACACCTCACAATTGACCTAGATACATCTTTGCACCGAGGAAATTTGTGGAGAGATGGTGCAGGGAATCAGGGCAGTGGGTTAGCTTGCCACCTGGAGGCAGGACAGATGGTATCCAGGTTAAGAGTGGGATGAGCACTAAGACCCAGGTATCTCTAACATCAAAAAAGTACTCAGAAGGATACAAGAATGGACATGGCCTGGATGGAAAACCCTTTCAAGCAGGGCCCAGGGTTCTGAGCTGGATGTTCCCACTAAATCTGCTGCACCTGCAGTTTTCCCAGCCTTCCATATACTAAGACAAGAAACTTTAAGTGTTACTTTGACTCTACAGTTTTCCTTTGATCTCAAATCCAATTAGTCAGGAAGTCATGTTTTCCAGTTGATCAAGCGTGGACATAGATCTGTGCCAGGTTTTCTCAACTTTAGCTCTCTTGATATTTTACATCTAGTGATTCTTTCTTGTTGGTTTTGGGGGTGGGATGTCTCCTGTGTATTGCAGGATGTTTACCTACATCCTTGGTCTCTGTTAACTAGATGCTAATAGAAACTCCCATGCCCCAACCTGACCATGACAATCAAAATCTCACAAATCAGAAAGTATTAGCTTCAATGAAACCACCAATATGGTAGCTGCAATATGATATCTGGGAACCACACAAGCTTTGCTGAAGAGATGATGAGAAAAGTGTGGATGAACCAGATGCCCCGAGGCATTCTTTTTCCAGAGTCTCTTCTTATAAACATTCAGAGCTAAGGATGGTCATAGGCTCCTCCCAATGCTGTTTAACCATAAGTTTTGTCTGGTGGAGTATAAAGCAAACAGGAGTGAGATAAAGTATTTTTGTTGTTGTACATGTTACACTCCACTTATGAATCATCCCTGTCCTTAATTTTACCAAGACTAGTAGAGCATAGGGCCTATCTGCACAGGAAGTCTGAGGCCACTCTGCACAGCTCCCCTCCTCAAGAATTCCTCCCCAGATTGGAACAAAACTTAAAATCATTAAAAAAAAAAAAAAAAAAAAGACCAGATTTGCTGGTCTGATAGCGACTATGGCCCCTAGCTGCCCTTCAGGTCTGGAATTGCACCCACACCTGTGGCTTCCAGCCAAACAAAAGACAGGCATAGGAGCTGAAGTTTTACACTAGTTACACTCCTTCGAGAGAATAATCATGGGAGAATAAAAGGGCTGTGTATACACAGGGAGACAGCTCTGGGGGCAGGAGTGCATGGAACGGAAAGACACAGGGAAGAGGAAGTGGGAAGAGACCTGTTGCATTGTGGAAATTGCAATCAATGTCATGAGACAAAGTGGGAGCTGCTGTATGGAAAATGAATTTTCTCTGTGACCTTTCACCCAAACCACAATAAAAAATAAAAGAATTCCTCCTCAGAAGCCTTTCTCTTCTCTGGGGCCCAGAGACCTCTCCCACCAAATGGAGAAGGAGGCAAGTCAGGCAGCTCATGAAACCAGGGAGGAACGGATACTTAGAAAGTGAGGAGGACTCACTTTCTCTCCTGCCTGTCTGTGTCTCTCTTGAAAAGCTCATCTTCTATGTCACTAAACCCCATTGTGTAGGAATGCTTTAGGTCATCACAAACCATGATTTTGATTTTTCTATGCCCTATCAAAGAATACAACCACAGGAAAACAACAGGACAACCCCAGGTCAATGACTTTGGTCGACCCAAACAGATCAGTCAGTGTTTCATAAAAATTGCTCCTGAACATAAAGAATAGCATCAATTTATAAATCATCCCCAAAAAGGTGGTCAGTATAGCTCTGGTGGCGTAGTGCCTAAGGCATTTGACTGCTGACCAGAAGGCTGGAAGTTCAAACCCATCAGCCATTCCTCAGAAGGAAGGTTGGGCAATCTACTTCCGGAGTATACTGCCTCAGAAACCCAAAGAGGGGTCACTATGAGTCAGATCCGACTCAGCAGTGAGTAGAGGAGGGTGGGATTAGGAAGCAGGAATATGACACTTGGCTTCAAGTTTAATGAAAAGCAAGCATGCTACTCTGGTGAAGGAAAAGAAGCCACCATAACACCGGGATATTATGAGAAAAAACAAAACCAAATGCACTGTCACCAAGTCAGATCCAACTCATAGTGAACCAGCCTTGGGTTTATGAGGTGGTATCACTACGAAAGTAGATTGCCAATCTTCCTTTTAAGGAATGGCTGGTGGGTTTGGACTGCCACCCTTCTGGTTAGCAGGCAAATGCCTGAGGCACTATGTCACCAGAGCTCCTGATTATGAGATAGTCAGAGCAAAAAATCTTATAAATTATTTATTCACACTTTGAATATTATACTCAGGATTTTGTCCTTATTATATTAAAATAATGTGGAGGAAAATAACTGGAGAGGAACCAAAGAAGAACACCAAGATCATCTATTGGTTTTAAGTTTTCCATAAAAAGGACTTCATGACAGTCTTTAAGGTAATGAAATATTTGGGGTAAATATAGAATCCTTGATATTTTCTATGCAATACTAAGGCTAAACAATGGAAAATATGCTTAAATTTTAGAAAGAGATAGGTCTTTTGTTTCAGCAGTGCTGTTGTTGTTGTTAGGTGCTATCAGTTTGTTTCCAACTCACAGCGACCCTATGCACAGCAGAACGAAACACTGCCCTGTCCCATGCCAGCTCCATGATCCTTGCTATACTTGAGCCCATGGCTGCAGCCACTGTGTCAATCCATCTCCCTGAGGGCTGTCCCCTCTTTCGTCGACCCTCCACCTTACCAAGCATGACATCCTTCTCCAGGGAATGGTCCCTTCTGACAACACAACCAAAGTAGGTGAGATGAAGTCTGGCCATTCTCGCTTCCAAGGAGCATTCCAGTGCACTTCCTCCAGGACAGATTTGTTAGTTCTTCTAGCAGTCTATGGCACTTTCAGCATTCTCCACCAGCACCACAACTCAAAAGCATTAACTCTTCTTGAGTCTTCTTTATTCATTGTTCAGCTCTCACATGCATATGGGGGGATTGAAAATACCATGGCTTGTGTCAGGTGCACCTTAGTCCTCAAGGAGACATCTTTGCTCTTCAGCACTTAAAAGAGGTCCTTTGCAGCTGACTTGCCCAGTGCTCTACATCGTCTGATGTTCTGACTGCTGCTTGCTTTGGCATCAATTATAGAACCAAGCAATGTGAAGTCTGACAATTTCAATCTTTTCTCCATTTATTGTGATGCTGCTTATAGGTCCAGTTGTGAGGATTTTTGTTTTCTTTATATTGAGATATAATCCATACTGCAGACTGTATTCTTCAACCTTCATCAGTAGGTGCTTCAAAGCATTCTTTCAGCAAGCAAAGTTGTGTCATCAGCATACTGCAGATTGTTAATGATTCTTCCTCCAATCCTGATGCCACGTTCTTCTTCATATAGTTCAGCTTCTTGGAGTATTTGCTCAGCATTTAGATTAATATGTATGGTGAAAGGATACAACCCTGACATACTCCCTTCTTGATTTAAACCCTTGTTCTGTTTGAACAACAGCCTCCTGGTCTATGTATAGGTTCCTCATGAGTATAATTAAGCCTCCTGGATTTCTCATTCTTCTCAATGTTACCTATAATTTGTTATGATCCACACAATAGAGTTTCAGCAATAGAGTACACATATGCTGAGAGTGGTGCTGAGGGGTAGTCCACATCGATGTAACCTTCAGAGCAGCCTTGTGTATCAGCGTGACTCAGGCACCTGGAAGGCAGGGACTCCTAAGATTCCATGACACCACCACCTCCACCTTCCAATTCTGTTATTGCAACTCCAGACCGTTATCTGCTGGTCTTGGTTCTCCCTCCACTCCTGTTGGAGCCTGAGCTCTGAACCGTTCCATCTTGTAAAGGTTCAGGACTGTTGAGTGTTGTGGAATGCTGACAAAGTTGATCCTAAAAGTAAGTTATGACTCACATCTGCTTCCTTGAGTACACTTTAAATCACTTCTTCCATTTTTTTTTTTTAAACTTAATTGGGATATAATCTACATACTATAAAACCACCCATTTTAACTGTATAATTCAATGACTTTCAATGAACTTATCAAGATATGCAACCACTTGTCTTTATCACTCATCTCGTTTCCTTCTCCCCAGGCTCCGGCTCCATTCCTTCCACAATAAGCCTCAGCATGGAATCCCTCCCTTTGGGCCCTGGGCAGAAAGGAGTGTCCTGGAAATGAACTGGATTTGTGCTCCCGGCTGGCACAAGGCAAACAGCAGTTCAGAGACCTCAGAGAGAAATTCCTTGTATCTGAAGCCACAGCCTATACCTTGGCCAACCAGCTGCAGAAATACAGTAAGTGCCACGGGGTCAGGGTCACCAAAGAGATGGTTGTCTGCTTGCTAAGAAACTAAACACTCTCCAGAAACTAAATGCTCTTCTCGCCTATCCATCAAAACAAATTTTATCCTGACCATACTCCTAGGAATGTAGAAGAAGCTACTTTATCCTTAGTT